TTTCTCTGTTTGCCTATACTATATTAAGATGCATTTAAGATCTGAAACTTACCTTTTTCTCAGCAACAAGCGCAGAAGATTGCTACAGCTTTTAATAGTCTAACATAAACGCTAACATCTTACTGGTTAGCGTTTTTTTAGCGAGTTAGTTTTCTACGGGATGGGGTCGCTAGCCCCATGCCCAACCCTCCTCCTTTATCCGGGCTTGGGACCGGCAGTAGCCCCCCGAAGGGGGCTCCAGGCGGAGTTAAACGTTAACATCAGGTAAACTATTTTAAAGGGCTTTAGGCTGGGATTGTCTATTGCAATAGGTTCTTAAGAATTATAGTGGATCTGTACCTACGGGATGGTTTAGTTACGCACCTCCATTCAGACAGATCATAAGGTTCCACGGAACTGTATAAACAGCGTAGATATGGTACTAGCAAATATATGTATCAAAATAAATCCCTGGACAATACTTCCTCCAACGTGTATTGACGAGAAACGTCATCACCTTGTAAAATCAATTCCCAAACAAATAGTATTCCTTGGGATCGGGGGACAATGCTCTGTCTAAAAGATATGACTGTTAACAGGGTTCCAGAAGACAGCAGCTAAACATAAGAATGCAAAGATCATAAATTTATCTGCTTATTCATAACATCAAAAGTTCTTAACGAACAGGGAGTAGAGTCTATCGTTCAAGTATAGATCCACCCATGTGAATTAAGGAAGATCAATTAGGAATACTCACCCGGTGTAGCAGCAGCTCAAATATAACGTTGGTCAAAACAATGTCATGAAAGACATCACGGATTTCATAACAATTCAGAACTTGTAGATAGTGTAGTATAGTAATTACAAGCAAAATGATGAGTATGTGTGAGTGCTAGGTTTATTAGAAGTAGCGTTACATGTGAAGGAAACGAACGGATACTTCCACAGGGAATGTATATGTGAAGGGGTTTTCAAACACACATAATTTCATACAAACATGCGAACACAAAAGGATCGTACATCCAGAATACTGTATTCAAATGGGATCATACGTAATTAAACGCGTATAGATATATCTGAAGGGTATGTGCCCGGTTGTCAACAGGACGTCACAACTTCCTACATGAGTCCCATCTTATTATAAAAAGAGGCGACCATATATTGGGAAGCTACTTTGGTCCTGGCATGTCCTACATTTTTATTCTTCTAGGTCGAATAGTCTATATAGCCACCACAAAACACTTTAGAGTCTACAAACAAATCGGCCTTAGTTAGGATAATGACCCTCTCAATGAGTGAAAGACGACCAAAACCATGTACGAGCACAGTTAATACCAGGTAACTTAAGAACACATTGGGGAAACCAGCTTCGAGAAATTATAAAATTTAAATGACACTTTGACAGTGAAGATTTTTATCAGCAAATAAATCCCCAAAATATATGGTCTTGTTAGTCTTTGATACTGTTGCTGACCTCATTAGTTTTACTGCCCACACTTATTATACGCATTCATTCAACATCCGTATCAGATCGTATTTCGTTACTCTATCATGCTCGTTCCTTACAAAAGGAATTTAGCTTGAATTATATACATCTGAACATACCGACCATCTTTCAAATATACCCTCAACCGCCTTCAGTCCTGAACACTAGTTCAGCTGGGTTCGGCGTCCTCCACAAGAGAAGTATTTCGGATGACAGCGTCGTCAATCCTCTATATTGGTGACATTTTTAGTGATGAGTCACGACTTTATCTGATACACCAAGCTATACATTGTGAGCCTGTTCTTGGTCATAACATTTTATATGTATATACATATATTTCATTTTTATCATGTCGGGACTCACACATTAACTGTGAAAGATTATGACTCTTACCCTCTCACTTCGCAACTTGTGCTATCCTGGCCTGGAAATGCCGAAGCCTAGTTCTACTGTGCAGAGATTGACTTCCACGAGCACGGCGTGACCGTCAAGTAAAAGTTTCAGTTGACTCAAAACGAAATTACACTTACCATAACACCCTCAGTCATTCACTTTACATCGAGCATGGCTGAAAACGGTCTAGAACTTCCCAAAGAGACCTATCACGCGAAAGATTAGCCTCTTAACTGATAGAAATATATAATTCCAATTGGTAATGGCACCACAATAACTATTGTAAGTATTTTAAAGATGCCAGGAAACTGCATTTTACTCACCCCATCTAGAAACTACTCCACCAGCACTGGTTAACAGCAACCAAAGCCGGCTGATACAGCCGTTTGTTATACATCTCGCAGACATTCGAGTAGAATTTAACATCTTTTCCTCAAAAACTAACGATCGTTCACATGACCGATCTCTATTTACGGTAGAAGGTACATTTTTCTCAGCGTGGGATCACGGAAACCTGTCCATCGGGTTTTTGTTACTAAAGATATATAGGTGCCAGCCATTGAGATAGAATGGTTACAACATCACAACCTACTCGCCGACCCAAACAAATGGTGGTTAGTATATGTCAGTAAAAAGTAATCTATTTATAAATTTTCATCTGTTGGTTGTAGATCATGGCCGATCAGAATTAAATGTATAATCGATATTTTTTCCAACTCACACTCAGTAAGTATTCCAAACTGCGTAAACCACGACCGAATTTACCGAGTGTGACCTTCAATGTCACACATTACATTACGACTACAGGACCATCTATATTCTCGAAAGCTCTCTGAATAGATCCTTAAAAGCCAACTTGACTAAGAGCGGATTCGATTTCAGATAAATTTAGGAATATTCCGGTCATCAAATAGCCTGCAGACATCTCCGTTGTATGGGTTTCCTAAAAAGAATATTAATGATTGGCGTTGAACTGACGACTATGAAAGACTTAATACAAAAACCATACCGGACCACTACTCGTTACCGCGCATTCATGACCTGGCAGCTATCTTGAAAAGTACGACCGTCTTTTCAAAAATCGACTTAGCTAAGGCGTATAACCAAATCGTTATGGCTGAGTACGACATTCCTAAAATGTCTATCATTACTCCCTTCATACTCTACGAAACTTTGTGTTTGCTTTTCGGTCTAAAAAATGTCTCCTCAGCTTTTTAACGACTCGATGACGGCATTTTCAGGATATTTGATTTTGTTTACGAATTTGTTAACAACTGCCAGACAGCATTGGACACGTTGGAGCGTAATTTGAACCTGAGACGCGTGATTCAAGCAACTGGGGCAACTGAACTCTTTATGGTAGTAAGTACCTCGAACTTTCCTTTTTCATGCACTTACATATGTGCTTACATGTGTCAATTTTGAAAAAATATGTGGGCAATTTGACATTAGTTTTGGGGAAAGTAGACGTCATGGGTAAGGTGGAAGTGTTACTTTCGATACATTCCTTTTTATGGGAGGGAATCTCAGGCAAAATTCTGACAATTTGATCAAATATCACCTGTGTTCACGTCAAATCCCCTTAAGGATTTTCCTCAAGATTTCCTTAAGGCTTGCTTTTGTTTCTCCCTTATTTTGTTTGCCTAGGTAACATAGGTATGTGTATAATGAACTTTGACAGTTGAAACTAGGCTTGGTAAAAAAGCAAGGATCCAAATAATGTGAAGCTTCGCCACTATCCTCATGAGCTTTTCCCGTTTATACTTTAATAAATTAATGCGCTCTGTTTAGTCTTGACTACTTAAGTAGTGCAACACCGCTTAATTCAATTAGACTGAAGTGTAAATGAGTGAACTTTAAGTCATAAGCTTCAATTGTAAATTTGAAACGGCTATCAAATTACAGGAAACAGAAGTGATGTAGTTGTCTCGTAATAAATCACTATCAGCTCATGATTTATGTCTGTTATCAGAAATGGTTCTCTTGTTAGTTGTGATGAAGGTTTATTATCTAGTCAGTTATTTATGGCTTGTTTTCATGTAAACGTATTCGTTAATGTTGAATGAACTGAATCTTTTTATGGAGATTGAGTTTGGATAACGAATGAAGCTAATGACTATGAAGAAAAAATATATTTTCTTTTTATCATACTCTGAATTTGTAGCGTTGGTGTTTCTTGGTAGCCGTTTTCCCCACGCTATTTATTCCTTTAAAATCGTGTGCTTGTTTTAATTTCACTAATAGTGACATTATTTCCACACTGACTTTCATTTTATCGGTCTCCATGGCAATTTCTTAATGCCAAGGTTTTGTTAGCAGCAATGGTACAAAGGAAGACATCAAGTCGTTATAGGATAACTCCAGACATCTTTACAGGATGGCGAGCCAGTATTATCAGTGTAAACAAGATGTAATTCCGGATGACGTTTCTTAATCCATGGTCTTCCAAATTTATAACAAAGGACAGAAACCCTTTTTTGACACGTCAGATAAATCAATCTGTTCATTAATGTTTCCAACGTACTTTCTCATAATAGTCTGATGTCTGAATACAGATAGTAAATGCTAGGTAGGTTTTAGACCTGACTGTGGTTGTATAAACCAAATTTTTTCACTAACAGTTTTGGAAACACCAATCCCTGACTATAGTTATATTTAATGACCTAAACGCTTTATTCAACTCCGTTAATCTAAATGTTCAAATGCAAAATCGTCATTAAATCTCTTACTAAAGTAGTCCACTACTGAAGGCTCTTCACTCGCAGTTTTTTTCAGGTTAAACATTTCTGCAAACTTTCGTCTTGATTATCTACCTCATTTACTATCCGTAGACGATAAACAGTTTCCTCATTTAAATTTAATTTTGCTATAGACATTTTCCATAGACCATATTCACCTCTCCTAACGATTAATTTATTCACTTAGTGTACTTAGATGGCACATTTTAATTTAATAGGTGCTGACTAAATACGAAGACTTCTGAACACTCCAAGTAACAACGTAAGGATGTTAGGAGTGCATTTCGTTCCTTTTAAACTCAAAATATCACATGAGTCGTGATTTGATGAAATAAACTTTGTTATACTTCGGTCGATATTTTTTGTTATCCATCAGTTTGATTAAAATATTTTCAGAATGATCAATGAATAATAAAAATCTAGAAGAAATATCTCATGACCCTCTACTTGCTCCTGGCAAACGTAAAGGTGCCAAAAAGACGAGGACTGTTAAAGACCTTTTTGATGATGTTGGACCGGAATCAGCATTCAAAGATAAACGCGGACGTCCTTGGTTCAAAAATCCACGAGCATACGTGAAACAGAAATTAGCATCTAAAACTCAGAAGGATAGTGCAAAAAAACAATCGGACTCCAGTAGCAATGAAAGTTCTGAACTCGAAGCCTCAGAAACTGAATCAAGCACTTCGACCAGTGACGAAGAAAAAATTAATGTCTTCGAAGATATTCAAGACCTACAAGGTTAGCACTTTTTTAATCTGATTTTTCTTATTATAAAAATAGAGAAGTGATATCCAGATTTCTGCGAAACTGAATAGCAATAAAATATCCCATCCAACAAAATAAGTAACTAGAAATAATCTGCCCACATCGGCTATAAGTCACCTACCAAGTCGAAAGATGTTAACACTAGACTGTTGTGTAGTCTGCGTGAAACTGATTTCAGGACAATTCTTTATTAATGTAAATTTGTAAGCAATACCAACTGCGTCAGCGGAATTGGCTTTTTAACTGTTTATCACCTGTTATATTTTGACTGAAAACTACTCCAAATCATGAGTGAAGTTAGATATGTGTAACTTGTTCTCTTTAGTTTTCCGAATCCAGTGGAAATGAGGTCAGAAAATTAACATTTAATTTGTAGTTTTGATGTTCGGTTTTGACTTATTGTCTATTTACTGATTATTTATTTATTTAACTCACATGAAATCTGATACGACAGAACACCAATAATAGTATGTATTACTCAAAATATTTATATATGAAGGTGGTATACTGCTCCTGGGTGCCCACACTAAACCAGGTATCTGGATAAGTTGCTTTATGTACATATTCAAACTACAAGTATTGCTATATCCCTGAAATAATTGCGTTTCGAAAATTCTTATTAAACTTTTATTACATATCACATAGTCAGTCAGTGACAACGTAGAACTTCGTACGTACGTACATCATTTCGAGTTGTCATACCACATTAGCACAGAGATATGATTGTCGATTCAAATCTCATAATAGTAAAGGTGATAAAACTATAAGCAGTAATCTGAAAGATTAGGGTTTGAAGATGTTATTCAAGGAGTATAATCCAGTAAAAATAAAGGACATGAAGAATTCAGAAGATTAGAGTTTGAGAGAACACAGAGAGTGGATGCACCTGCACCATCGCAAACGATTTTGAGCCATTTCATTTAAGGTCTCTAACCATCAGTTGCTATCATCTCGCGGATCCCAACCAGGCAGTCTACACCTACCAACCTGGCTCAGCCCATTTGTCAGTGACTATGGATTTGTGCCATGTTTTGGTCTGGCCACTGCTAGCTTTCTTCCAACCTAATCCTACATCATAAAACATCGTTCGTCGGGGCAGTCGGTGGTTGGGCATCGCATCCCGAACATGCTTGCATTGTTGCTTATGGTGGTCAGAAGACTGCATTTTGTCAGCGTCTTCACCAAATAGAACTATGTCATAGGCATATTACAAGTCAACAAATGAATCTCCCGGTAAAAGTTCAACTCCTGGAAATCTAGATGAGGAAAGAGTTATCTCCAAAATCACGTCAAACGACAAAGTTAAACAACAATGGAGAGAGTGGACAGCCTTGATGAACACCACTTGAGATAATCACTTGACAGCTCTCACTCGACCAGTTGTGTTCTAGTAGAGAGCCTTTATAAGGTTAATGTACTTTTTTGGTACTCCTTTAAGTGACAAACACTGCCATAGAACCTCACGATCAACAGAGTCAAATGTCTCCTTAACGTTGAGAAATACTACTATTGTAGGTGTCTAAATATGTGACTATGTTCTAGGACCTGACGTAGTGTGAATATCTGATCTATACAACCACGTCCAGGTCGTGGTCTTCATCGTTTAAATCGGATACACCAGCTTCGAATTCTTTTTCATCAGTGTATAGTTCAATTTCTTCAATGTAAGTGTGAAATTCATTGAGGAATCTCCCTTCTAGATGATTTAAATCATTCTCTCCGTAAACACTTAGAAAGTATGCTATTCCATTTTATAGTCAACTGTTAGCCATCGTTGAATATAACAAATTAACATATCAATAATCTTATTATGAACATTTTTGTATCCAAAATAAACCTAAACATTTTCATACCTACTATTCATAATAGCTCTCAGGTGTTTTTACCACATATACATATAGGTGCAGATTGGTACGAATTAACTAAAGATTCAGTTCCTGCTACCCAGACAAGTCATAGATTGGCACTGCTTCATTTTGATTGGGATAACGCGAAACCAGAAACAATTTATATGGTCTTAGAATCGTTTTTACCAGCCAGAGGGCATATTGAAAAAGTTACAGTAAGTCATTAAATTGATCGAACAACTTTCTAGAACGTAGACGCTAAACTACCATCCCCGCATTGCATTTCACTTTTTGTCTTAACGATTTGAGCGGCGTACTTGACTAAATGATTTCCTTGTCGTTTGTTACCCTCAAGTGATAAATTATTACCATATTCTTCATCAGCATATGGACTAAAATTCAAGTTGATTCGTTCATCAGGAACCTAGGAATGAACCACACTGACTTTAGAGGCTAGTGGTACTACCCAGTCCCCTAAGCCAAAGTAGGTGGGGAGGTGTTCAAACCTGGTACTTAATGCCTTAATTATGAAACTGGTGATTCACTTATTTCATAATGAACAATTTTTTATAATCATAGAGTTATTGATTGGTTATGATGGTGCTGGGTGACTCAACTGCACAAGATTTCGAAAAGCACATCTCAAGAGCGAATGGGTTGAAGTCACCAAGTTCTATACCAGTTTAGTTTATAACTGGTCTCGTTGAATGGTTTTGCATTTTATTCCACATAAAATGTGGGTGGTAGCTGTAGCTTAAGATCATACTTTAGTTTTATTGACTGAAACATCTGACAAGACAGTTAATTTAAATGAACGGTTTCTGTGGTTCATTTCACTGTAACAATATTCCAAACTAGGTTTACACTATCGATCGTGAATTAATGTGGAAGAAGAGTTTTGTTGCCGTCCAGTTCCCGAATGAACTACAAACAGTTGATTTTTAAGCTTCTATCTTACTCTATTGGTTTCCCTGTAAATATCTCCAATAAATGACAAAATCTTTTTAAGGGTCTTGTCTGATTAATCATTTTGTAAACTTTGACAGGAAGTAATCAGTATTTTAAGCTGTTGATCAAATCGGTAGGAAGTTGTCCGCTTTATTTTCAATTTTTACTACTACATAATGCGAAAACAATCCTTTTGAACAATATATTCTATCGTTGAGCCGTTCAAGATAATTCGTTCAATTAATGTTTTATGGCAGCGTGAGGTTGTGGAGATTTCTGAGTTGCATTGAGATCACGAACCAATCTAAGTTGAACAATAACTGAAAACATGGAATCACTAAACGATCATTTGTCCTACTGTGAGACTCCTCATCGGTGCCCATTATAATCCCTCAATCGAAAATCTAACCTATTACCTTCGCGAGCGTCCAATCTCCAGATCGTTGAGTCAGTATCCAGGAATGTACAAATCTAATTTCAATCAATCCACGATATTGCACGACTATCTTTCATTGTCTTTAGTGGATATCTTCCTCATACCAGACACGGTCGAACTCCACTGGTTGGCTAAAAATGTAGTTAAAATGTATATTTACTGAGTAATAATGCTTTGCAGCCACATGCTTGTTGATATCTTAATATTCCTACGGCTCAATGAGACACTGAGTACTAAGTGGTGGTAACAATCGTATTTGTAGTTGATTCGTATGTTCTTTGTGTGAATCGATTCCTTTGTAATATACTAACCTACTCGATTCTATTAGAATTACAACTGTATCATGTCATTCTTTGAATTCATTGTTATTCAGTAATATTACACATGTGTTTGTTTTTGTCGTCAATCTGTTTTATTTTCGGATAATACCAATTTAGATCTATCCATCCGAGTTTGGCATTAAACGTATGGCTGATGAAGCTATTCATGGACCGCTTGAACTGCGTCCAAGTGAATCAGATACAGAATGCAATGAAAACAACAATCTGACTGTAGAGAATTCAACTATGGCCATAGATGTTGATGAAAAGTCTGGCTGGCGTAATGCATCATCTAAACTCCGACGTCGTATTCGTGAATATCAGTTAGCACGATTGAAATATTTCTATGCTATTATTGAATTTGATAGTGTTGAAACAGCGGAAGCAATTTATACGGCTTGTGATGGCCTTGAATACGAAAGTTCCGGTTCCCGGTTAGATTTGCGTTTTGTTGATAATGATCAACGATTTGAAGTAAGCTTTGCTTTGGTATTGTTTCTATCCCTCTATCTGTTTAACACTTTTTCAATAATACGATTGATTGATCATTAATTAACGACCGATGTCATAGATATCTAGTACTTTTTAGTGCTGATCGAATTCTATCAACCACCTTGCAATGTGGCGACTAACCTTAGTGACTCGACATCGTGTGCGCTGTATTGAGACGTAAGTTGATGGTGAGTAGAGGTAGTTTACAGGTGAATCTGCTTGACCAAGGTTACGTGCCATTTGTCACTCTTCAGCTAGGCACCCCTGTAATCTCGAAGAAACTGATGCTTCCTGGTGGATTTGATTCTACGGTACCGAGATTCACAGCCAGGAAAGATACTAATGAGCTGTTTGACCCTCGGCTGACCTCATGTAAGACTGAGATGTATTTACAGTTGTTCGATTACTGAGTATTTCTCAGGAAACGTCGGTCCCTTCAAAATTACAGGTATCCCTTGTTGTAGAGTACTAAATATGATTCGACTCTGGGACCACGTTAACCTGACCAACTAAATCAAATACATTTCATCACTCAATGACACTCCTTTATCAGTAACAGTTAAACACATTCATTGGGCGTTGTTTTGTAACCCAATTATTTAGAAAATTTCAAGCTACATAACCGACAAGTTTCCTGAAAAGCTTAAGAAAGTTCTCTATTGATGTGATTTTCCCGCATCACAAACGATTGCCTAATGTTTAGAAGGACTGATGCCAACATCTCTTCACTCTAAGTTCCTGCTTCAGTTACACATCGAACATTTGAGGGTTCATAGGATGAAATGTACTCCTCATCGCTTTGATTGTTGACCCATAGACGGACTATTATTATATTGTCACCTGATCAAGTCCTATTCTCATTTGACCCCTGAAGAAGCAACTCGAACTAGGTCACAAAATGTCAGAAATTGTGATTTCCACTCGTTAGAACATCATAAATATACCATTGTTTTTATTATTGACTATCTACCCAATATTCAGTTTATTTAAAACTATCAAGTTGAATCTTAATAACAAAACTATTCTCAGATGGTGGAGAAGATTTGTAGCTCAGGTGGATGATTTTGATGGAGTCTATCTGAAGTTTGTGCTGATGATGTCGTTCAGAAGAACGATGAAAGCTCCACAACCAAACCATCCAGCTAAGAGAACAAAACTCCATCAAAAACTATTCTCATTTACATTTATTTTCATTTGCCAAAATGAAATAATTAAAAAAAACTTTTCTCGCTGAAATATTTGTTTTGTCTAAGTGTTTCTAATTTGACTGAAGAAGCAACTCCAAGTTTATATTAAGCTTGTATATTTGTTAAATGATGTCATCGTTTCCTGTAAAATTTGCACAAGGACTCTTCATATCATTAGGTATGCTAACTGTCTATACTCATTTGATTATTTATTTTACATACTGTATTTTTATATTTTGTTTTTAAATTGAAATATTCCAGGTTCCTCCAGAATATGCTCATCTTGTAAGTGAATGTCGGGAAATCAATAAAACAAAATACGCCCCAATCCGCTTTGAAACAAGTGCTTTACACTCAACACGAATCGGTATAACTTGGGATAAAACACCAGCTGATCGAACAAATTGGCTACGTGATCAATTCCGTTCAGATATTGATCCTAAAACTACTTTAACAGAGAATAGAGATGAAGTAAGAAAAAATCGGTTTTCCCTTATTAATACTTTTACTAATTTTACCTTTATAACTCACCTTTTCTAGTCGAGATACTCGTGCAAATCTTGTCAGCTGTCTTGTACTGAAAACATTTGACTGTCATAATTACCCTCTGGTTGGTTTCATTACAGATAAAGGATTCATCTTAGTTACTGACTGTCAAATACAATTCATCTGATTTTATCTGCATACATTGATTAATTACTGTTATCCTATGTGCTATATATCCATTCGTGTATTGATAAATGAAATGGGTTTTTGATGTTTGCAAATAAGCTTTCAAACCTACCGGCGTATATTTCAGGCAAGTTTACTCAACTACCCTACTTCTGATGGTCCAACCAGGTGTGTGTGTGTATGTGTGCTAAAATCAGTCTTAAGTCATTATTTTGCTTCTGTATAAAGCGAAACTATCAGTAAAATCTTATCACGTAATTAAATATACGGTTTGTACTACTTCAGTATCAATTTATTTTCATTTTGAAGCATTACTCTCTAATAATATATACCATTGGATACTGACTAAATGATTCAGAGATTGAGTGTTCGCGCGCGAGACCAAAGGTCTTATATTCGATTTTTGATGGCAGGGTTGTGGATGCTGACTGCTAACGACTCCCACACTAAGATGAAATAGCTGTCAGGTGCTTCCAAGTTTTCAATGGCTGTTCAACTTAGATCGATTCGTGACCTAAATAAAATAATTAGTTGGTTTATCCATTTATTTATAGCTTTCCAAATATCTTGCTCTTTCTTCAAGTGGGGCTAGTACAACGGCTAGCTCAGATCCTGAATCAGAACCACCTGCCCCCACTGTTCCTCGAATTCATCGTCATAGGCCTAAAAAACTTCCACCAGCTGAAGTCCGTCTAGCACTTTTAGGATTGTCATCTACTGATAAAGTTGATATGGACGGGGAATCATTCAATCAAGACGAAGCGGAAGAGGAAGAGGAAGAAATCCTTGATCTAGCCTCTCATACTCTTAATGATGCTTCTGAAACTGAAGAATATGATCTACGACCTGTTGAGAAAAAAAAGGACTCACAAGCAGTAACTTCTATATCACGTGGCAAAGTTCGTCGTAAGGTATTACCAGAGGCGAGGGATTCCGATGATAATGATGAAGAAGAAATAGAAATGGAAGAAAATAACAACCCTCTTGAATCCGAAGATAATTACAGTGATAATAATGATAAAAAAGCTGTTAAATCTCCTCAGAAGAATGACAGTAAAAGAAAGAAAAAGATTAAACAGGTAGGTTCTGTTCAAAACACCTAAAGTTCTTAATAATTTGTTCAGTTGTAAATGTTTTTCTCACTGATTATTAAGACGATGATACATATTGTATTATTCGGGTGGCTGCACAGGAGAATGATCCGTGTTTATGAAAAGCGTTTCAGTAATGGTAACTAGCTACTTACGTATTTTACTTAAGTTCGTTACCCTTCGTGGAGCATAGGCTGCTAATCAGCAATCTGATCTGGGCTCTCCAGTTGTTTCCATTCTTTTGATGTCTGCTTCTAATTCTTCTTTGGTTTGCGTCTTTCCTTTTTACCTTGAGCATCCCAAGTTGGGGTTTGCCTCGTCATTCAGTTTGATGACGTCTACAATGTACACCTCCAGCTTGAAGTTAGTTTGTTCTTTTCCAAAATAGGTTTTTGCTGATGTTATCTGGCCAGCGAATTTGGAGTAACCGGTACACAACCTACATTATTATTAAGTGATCCAAAGTGTAATATGGTCTTACATTGAGTAGAGAGGATAGTAAACAATCAGACATACTTTGAATTAGTCGTTCCATCAGTCACAACGTAGGATGTGGTACTTATGTACATCGGTTCAAGTTGCTTTACCTCATTAGCACCGAGAGATGAAATTGTCAGGCCAAATTCCAGAATAGTAGAGGTAGTTACAGTATCCGTGATAATAAAAAAGATTAGGCATCAAAGATATGAATCGAAAAGAAGGTATAAATTAGTGAAATAAAAACACAAAAAAATGTATTGGAAATTTAGAATTTCAGGATGTAGGGGAAGATAAAGAATAGATGCACCTTCGTCATTGCAAACGATTTTGACCCCAACCAGGTGGTAGTTTACACCTATTAACATTATTCAGCCCAACTGTCAGTGACTTCATGGACCGATGCTTTGTTTTGGTCTGGACACCCCTAGTTTCATGCTATCCTATTCGTACATCAGAAATAATTTCCTGTCGAGGTAGTTGATGGTTGGGCATATGTAATAAATCTCTTACCCAACTCAGTTGTTGAGGATGTTTTACCTGTTGAATCGATTTGGCATCCTTACCTAGTACTGTATTTCCAATCCATGCATAACTTACTCGATGGTAAACGATCAACCCCTGAAAAGTCAGAATACACAATGGTTTTTTTCAAATTATGGAAGCAAGACCTTGGAATTTATGGTCTAAACAACAAACATAGTAATGCACCCTACTTATCTTACTCGATTTTTTCGTGAATTTTTCAGAAGATAGCATTTAGCATAATGTTATTCTGGTCAATGTGATGCTGAATTAAACAAATAAGAACGATCTGTTTATTATATGGTAGTTATATTCTCATGCTAAACAGTTTTTACACACTGCCTGTCGTGTATGTGCATTTATCAATCAGTGAGGGTTGTGATCCTTATTCTTAATGACAACGCTATTTAGTAAATCTGTATAAAACTGCTAACTGTTAGTCCATAGCGATTCCTTGATGATGATGATGCAACTCACTAGCTTCTCAATAGTCCAATATTATGTAGGTGATCTATGGTCATATAACCAACGAAGTTGTGTAAAATGGGAGGTCTGGTCAAAAACATGATATCATGTAGCAGGCTATCTTCGGTTCTGCTTTAAACATGGCACATAGATTCAACAATCACCGCCTCAAATTTGACTGTCTGATTTCCTTTATTTCATGACCGTCAGTATAATGTAGTTCTACCGTCTTTTTCTTTTATATATTATTTATTTTTAGCGTACAAAAATCTTAGAGAAAAAACGAAAAGTTCAAGCAAGATTAGAACGTGAATCAAAACTGGTAGGTTTACTTTGTTCATATTATTCTTTTAATGTTCATCTTGAATGAGTACATTTCATTATGAAAATGTCAGTTGATCAGCAGTATTACTAATAAGTTTAATAGTAGTTTGACACATTAGTCAGAAATTTATTTTTAGATGATATCAAGCCCTCATCATGTTAATTTTTTGATTGGATGTACAACTAAAACACATTAACATATGGGTAATATTATGAGCTTTCATATATAAAAGATGTAAGTCGAAATGTGGTATACTAATTCGCACTTGGTTACTGACAATTCTTGAAATTTGAACGCTATCCTCGGTTCCTAAGCTATTCTCGTAACCCTTAAACTAGAACTATACAGCGAATTGAACACGAGAGAGAAAGCGCAAATTATGCGAGAAGTACTTTACTCCAAAGGTTATTTTTAATACAGAAAATATAGAGTTTTTATAATATTTTAAATATCCTTGGGTTACTCGGAAATTCTGGAATGCTACTAAACACAGTCACAGTATAGCAATCAGCCAATCAGAACCTCTACATGTGACTTTTCGCTTCCTTGATGTTTTTGGCTAAAACTCCAAGTGAACACTGATTGGATGAAATGCTTCTTAGTGTTTACTGATCCTTGCTTGTCTTTTGCGAAAAATTTTCTGGATCATCCCAACAGTAACTGAGTTTCCAAAGGACCTATTCCTAGTGTGTGGAATGAGTGTTAAACGTTATATTTCGCGGAAATACTCTTGTATCTTAACTGCTTACCTATCTTTCAATTTGTATATCAGCGTCGACTACTCATCTTATTAGTAGTAGTAGTCACCTTTGACTCATATCATTAATGACTGATATGATCAAACTAGACCAAAATTTGTTTAGTAGATTCTTAGTATTCAGTCAGTCAATAACAACGTGAAACTTCGTACGTACGTACATCAGTTCGAGTTGCCATACCACATTGGCTCAGAGATTCAGTTATCGATTCAAATCCCGTAGTGGTAGAGGTATAAGCAGTGATAGGGAACATTAGGGTTTGATGATGTTATTTAAGGAGTATAATCCAGTGAAATAAATTTGGAAAGAAAATAAAGGTCATGAATAATTCAGAAGATTAGAATTTGAGAGAACACAGAGAGTGGATGCACCTGCACCATCGCAAACGATTTTGAGCCATTTCATTCAAGGTCTCTAGCTATCGGTTGCTATCGTCTCGCGGATTCCAACCAGGCAGTCTACACCTACCAACATGGCTCAGCCCATTTGTCAGTGACTATGGTTTTGTGCCATGTTTTGGTCTGGCCACCCCTAGCTTTCTTCCAACCTACTCCTACACCATAAAACATCGCACGTCGGCGGTTGGGCATACGTAATACGTGTCCCAGCCATCTCAACTGATGAAGTTTCACTACTTCATCAATCGATTTGCCATCCTTAACTAATACCCGTTTCCAAACAACTGCATTACTTACTCGGTAATCACAGGATATGCAAGCAATGCCTAGAAGACATCTATGATCGAATACTAGTAACCTACGAATATCCTCTACTCTTACTGGCCATGTTTCACTGCCATAAAGTAGAACGGAACGAACTGCTGAGCAGTAAACACGTCCTTTGGTTGATAGACGGTTATCTCGCCTACATCATAAATGACACAATTTGACAAAAGCTATTCGAGCCTTCTGTATCCGTGCTGAGATTTCGTCACACACCAGACCACAAGGGCTGATGAGACTTCCAAGATAAGTGAAGCGGTCGACACGCTCAACTACTTCACTCCCTATCACTAGTTCGGGTGTCGATGCAACCCAGTCCTGATAATTAGCAGATTATTGTTTCGAGCGACTGAATGGATTTGTTAAATGTCGTGTATATTATATGATTTTCATAATTCAAACTAAGAACGTATCTTAGATGGGTGTTTTGTCCTTGTATAGTACTCCTAAGTAGTGCACGTTTACGGTACCACCTTCGAATATGTAACCCAGGACCTTCAATCCCGCGTGCCATTGTTTAAAGTCTAGCACATTGAGTCAGAATTCAATGGTATTGATATTTAACTCTCGTCTATTACCTGTGTTGGGTAACCGCTCCACATTCGATATGGTTGAACTCCAATGGGCACAGCTAATTCACTAGAACTGTAGGGATCTGTTGTCGAAACTAATCACTATTGAGCACGTGAAGAGTTCCACACTAGAACGAAACGGTCGTCCAATGCTTCCAGTTTTTCAGTAAAGTTTTATCTCATATCCGTTCATAATTTAAACCATTAAAATTTTACAATGTTGTATAATCGATAACTGAAAATCGGAAGCAACATTTCAAGTCAGTGTTAAATGACTAGAATCATCATCTTCATCATCAGCAATTCAGTTGATGATATATATATATATATATATATATATATATATATATATATATATATATATATATATATTAACACATAGGTATTGGTACAAGGAGGCACCAAATACATATGCGCCACACGAATCTCAATTGATTTGTGTGAGGGCTGTGATACTGCCCGGGTGCCCAAACCAAAGCAGGAGGTTTTCTTAGGGGGACACACCCCGAGCCTTCGACCCAGAGGTCTGATCCACAAGGCAGTGGAGCATCGTGAGGAGATGCACTCCCATGGTAGCCGGTGACCAACGATTGGTTCATACGCCATTTGTCCCTTCAGGATACTGGAGCCCATGTGCACCATTGGTTTGGGATCCGGTTAAAGCGCCAGACATTCGGTTTTTGTCCTCTCATTTTCGTAAACAACACCCCCGCCACGTGAAGGCAGTGAGTAGGACTTCCCTGGCAGGGGCTATGTACGCGTGGCTATGTGAGAGCATTTGGAGAGGGAGAGCGGACTCTCCCCACTCTCGGCCGTACCAGGGCATTTGGGGGCCGGCGACCATACCACGTTGAAAGCACCGGTTCTCGTCCGATATATATATATATAATATATATATATATATAGTCTTTGTTCATTTTGTCTAGATATCTTCACTAATCTTCTTTTTATTTCATTCAGTGGTTTGGAGAGAATAATAACTCGGATGAATTATGTGATGATGATCGGTTTGATGAATTTTTAAAAAATTCTTCATTTAATATAAGTCAAACACATCCAGATTATAAAGAAGCAAGTGATTTTTTACGTTATATGAAAATCCGTCAATCGAAAATTATGTGAGATATTGTAAATAGAATTGATAAAGTATTTATAATCTATTTATGTATTGTATATACATTCATATAATAGTTGTATAGTTTTATTCATCAAATAATCCTTTCTCTATTTCTATCTATTATCAATTCATCAGTGATATATTATATTATATATAAGAGATTTATACAGGTTTGATCTTTGGTATATCTAGTTCTTTTAAAATACTAGAGATTACTTTGTTGCGTAATAAAGATGGGAAGTAAATGTTTCAATTAGATTCATTGAAATGTCATTGTATTTACTATCCTATTTAATAAAATACACTTACTTATTTATGCCTGTTACCCTCGGTGGAACATAGGCCGTCGATCAGTATTCTCCAAGTCATTCTGTCCTATTCTATTCTATTCTTTCTAGTTCTATCCAATTGTTGTTCTTTCTTATCATGTCTGTCTTAATTTTTCGGAGTAATATGTTCTTCGGTTTTTCTCTCTTCTGATGATCCTAACAACTAAAGTTGATCAATTAAAAATTAAACAATCCATTCAATGTAAAAAAAAATGGATCGATAGAAATACTTCAGTGTTATTCATGTTCAAATAAGGTAGAGAAAATACACCATGTAAAATTCTAGGGAAAATACAAATTACTACACATAATAATCTGTTACTGTTTATCTACAATTTCAATCTGATGTGTAGACGAGTAAGATAATGATTGGTTGTTTGTTTAGTTATCCTAGTAGATAATCTGAAAGGTACTAAATGAGTAATATATATTCCCATACTTATCAACAAATGTAAATGAAGACAAGTAGTGTAGCAACAGTCTATGCATCAGTAGGCTTCAACATGCACAAAAGAAAAAGCATGATCCTAAAATACAACGCGTAGAACACCAACGCAAATCACGCTTGATGAAGAAACTCTGGAAGAGCTGGAAAGTTTCACGTATCTGAGTAGCATCAGCGATGAACATGAAGGATCTGATACAGACGTAAAGGAGAGGATTTGCAAAGCAAGGACAATTGTTGTTGATAGTGTTTTGTCAACGATAAAATACACTAACTGACGTTATAAAACACTTCAAATAGATAAGTTTTTATCCTCTTTGGAATAATTAACCATTTGTAACAATCAACTCATAGTGTAATTTTGCATTTGTTGTTAAATAAATCAGAAACAAACAGATTGGATGTAGCATAGATGAGAGGATAAATGACTAAATCAATTTATCTGAAGAAAATTTTCATAACTTCAATAACTATGAAGAGATTAGTCGATTCCCCCTTAAAGTTCCATAATAAATTATTAGTTACTTATAGACACTTGTTCCTTCCCTCCACCATGCGATGCTAGACTTTGTTTCGAAACCCGGTGGCGAGGTCGTAGATGTGTACTGTTAAGGAGTTTCATACTAGGACGATGTAACTATCCAGTGCTTTCTAGTTTTTAGTCATTGTTCAATGATGATCAGTCCGGGTTGTTAATTATAAAAATAGTTGCTCGTCCGATTGAAATTTTAGTCGAATTAATCTACAATCAAACAAAAAGTTTATTGAACATCGTAAAAGCATTTATAACTTAAAATTACTGAGATTAGAACATGGAGAAGCATTGATGTCCTTCTATCATACATTTTGACTAATCTAAGAAGTTATCGATAATCCTTAAACTTTTTATTTTCCCTACGTCCATCTCACATGAAATAGAGACTTGAATGTGTATGTTATACAATTGGTGTTTAATGCACTGTTACGGCCGAGGGTGGGGAGAATCAGCTCTCCCTCTTGAAATGCTTTCACATGGCCACGTGTATACAGCCACTGACAGGAAAGTCCTACTCGCTGCTTTCTCGTGACATGGGTGTTGTTTACGAAATTGAGAGGACAAAGAGCGAATATCCGGCATTTTAACCGGGTTAATGGGTACGGAGGTTTCACCTAGGTGAGTCGGATAACCCTGATTCCAAACCAATGGTGCACATGGTCTCCAGTATCCTGAAGGAACAAATGGTGTATGAACCTATTGTTGGATACGGCTACCATGGGACTGCATCTCCTGACGTGAATCAGACCTTAAGGTCGAAAGCTCGGGTTGTGGCCCCCTAAGAAAACTACGTGCTTCTATTTGGGCGTCCAGACAGTATTCCAGCCCACACACAAATTGGGGGACGAAATGTGGCTCATATATATTTTTGTGCCTCCTTGTAAGAATGTTTATGAGTTCAAATACAATAAAATAAAATCAGTGAAAGATTTTGATTTTCACAATTAATGACAATGTAAATTCTATGATGCCTAATATAGTTTTCGAATCGAATAATGGATTATATTCAAGAATGTATAGTTATCAGCAAGTGGATTATTTGCAAAAGTATTATGTCCCGATAATCATTTCATGGTACGATGTGGTCTGTCTGATTGGTATATAAACTCAGTATGTTTGAAATAAAGGATTCATATCGTGGAAGCTGAGATTGGTGTTCTGGACTTAACTGGCTGGGCTAGACAGGATGCAGGACCGATAAGTACTCTAGACTGCTCTCACTGGTTTTATGCGTTATTGGACCGATCGATAATTCACTGCTTTCTAATTGATAGTATCATTGCATTATCTATTAACAGGGTGCACAGGCCACAAGTTATAACAGAAAGATATTTTTGTTGGATTAATTTGTTTTTAGAGTTAATAAATCATAAATAATACGGTTAGAATTTGACTCAGTGGTCTGGATGTTAAGCGTTCGCACATGAAACCGAAGGTTCGGGGTTCGATTCACATGCTAAAAGGGTGGAGCATATATATATATATATATATATTAGTTGAAAATGAAACATGATTAATCTAGGAAATGTACTTCATATAATAGACTATCTCTTAACTGGACTTGGAAGCTTACTTTTTGTTCATGAAGTCACTATTGACAAATATAGTCTATCTGTTTGATGAGAGTATAGTTTATGGACGATGTTTGAGCAACGCTAAAGTGACCTTGAGAGTGTCTACCTACCTACTAGGGATAAATTAAAGTTATAAAGTAATTTGAAGATTGATTTACAGTTGATGATTAAGGTTAGAAATTAGATTTAGGGTATTCATCATGAACTAATATCAGTTATAATGCTAAAACAGATGAATGAAATTTGCTCAAATATCTATAATCTGTTTCCATAAATCTGATTGGTTTGTCTACAAATTATAATCTTGCCCAATGTTTTAGTTTCATCTTGTTGTTTTAATATGATGTAACATGTTAGACTAATACATAACTTCACTATACTTTGAGTTGATTACCATTAATAAATACTTGATGTTAAATATTGCTCACATCTTCAAAGGATAATCATCAGGCATCTCTATAGTAATTTCATTGGAAATTATAAAACGAAATTGAATGACCATTTTTTGCTTCTTGACTAAAACAGCTATCCATTACTTCCAGGTTCTCCATGGTAGTCTAGCTTCAATTGACTTATGAATTCAATTATTAAGTATAAATTCATCCTTAGTCAATTTAAGTAAAACGACGTGTCAAGAAACTATACTTGTATCAAATATTCAATCTTTAGTTCACTGTAAGTTAGACTATTCCTATTACACGTAACAGTCCATCTTCGACCTCGAGTGATCATATGATATCAAATATATTCTCTGTTAAGACCTACAGGGAAATGTGTTTATCATTTGTTGTATTGTTCAAAATATAGACCACAATAACTGTGAGACAACGAGTAGTTTTAATCCAGATATCTAATGACTACTACATTATTTTTGATCATAAGCATGATTGTAACATTTCATCAGAGAGATAAAACACAACGCATTCTTCCTATTGAAACTCGAAATATTCTTATCTATTTGATAAACTATTCATTTGGTATTGTTTGTTTGAATAGTCCCATTGATGTTTAGAACTGTATGTGATCAGTCTCTTATTGGCATACTGTGTGTATTGCCTCTATTCACAAGCATTATAAGAGTATGCATATTGGCGAGCAGTGGAATCCGGGACACGCATTTTTGTCCTATGTAAGACTCGTCAGCTGGACATAGCTATATCTCAGAATTGATATTCACTCTTGAAATTTATCAATATTTGATGAACAAGAACAAAATTTAGAACAGAATTACTGGACATCTTACTAAAATCTGAGAACCATACAGTACAATATTTCATTTGCAATATATTAATCAATTTGTCTTCAACTTGACTGTTCCTTTTATAAATATCATTCCATCGTCTTGAATTTCATTGTTCGTACATTTCCATATCAATTGTTTTCTGTTCCCATTCTTTCTTTTTTGATCTTCTACTAAAATCTATTCCATTTCCAACTATCTTTATATACTACTTATATGGATATAAGTAGCTCACACACCATAAAGTGTTTATTATTGGTTTACATAATTACAATATTATTTAATTAATACTACCACATTTAAATAGATTCAATGTAGTATAGAATAGTAAGAATTATGACGTCAAATGATTAAATAATTTCTATTCTATATAGAAACCTAATAATATATTTCACTTTACTTAAATATCAACATGATGATACAATTGTATCCAACTTGACTACAAACGTTCATAGGGGTTCTTTTTTGTGTTTCTTTTTTTGTTTTGGTAACAACCAAGTCATAGAATTATGGATTATCTAAGAGATACTGGTATATATTCAATTCAATAATGATAAACGTGTATAGATTACCGTTAAAGAAATACTACCCTAACAACTATAATGATTGTGGTTTTTCCCATGTTGAATAATAGACAGTAAAAGAAGTCTAGTATTTATCTTCTTTTTGTTTAAAGGGATATATATATATATATATACTACTTGTCTGGATGTTATGATAAACTACATTTTATTGATCTTTGTTAACATGTTTGTAAATGTTTCAATGTCATTTATATATATATATATGTAAATAGATAGGTAGGTGGATGGTAATTTACACTGAAATCATTATTCGTTAGATGTCTAAATAGGTTGTAATGTGACATAAATTTATATCATT